TTGATTGGGAAATTTAGTTAAGATTCGGTGTACAGATTTCCAACCACGCAGTCGGGGGTTCGAATCCAGCCGTTCGACTATTGCAAACCATATCCTAGCACAAGCATAGCTTAGTTGGAATGGTAAAAGAAATATTAATAAATTAACAAAAATCTGCCAATATTTTTTTTTATAAAAACACCTATGCAATTTTTATACAAAATTGAGCAAAATTAAGCCACACGGATCACAGATTGCAGTTACTGTTAAAATTATACACAATACCTATCTCCTTAGAACATTATATGAAACAAACTGTCGCACGCAACGCCGTCTGCGCGGAATTAAAAAAATTAAACTATAGCGTTCTTCCAGAACATTCGATGCCAAATTTAATTGAGATCCGTTAATCCGTTCTGGAGATACCTTCTAATAAAATTATATCTGTCCATCCATCTTAATATTCACATTTATAATATTAGTAACATTAAAGACATTTTGCGTAAAATTATAAGCTGTCAAATAGACCATAAAGTGTTTGGCGCCATTTTGACCCGTCCTAACCATAGGTTGTGCTTTACCATCTAAATGCGCAAAATAATTATCTATCCATAGTTTATTATCCATCTGACAACGTAAACGTTATGACATTTCGTTTAAATACTGAAATAGTGGTAAATAATTGATTGATTTATATTCTATTGAAATTGCTTCTAAGAGAATATTCTAACATTACTTCAAACTATTTAAATTTTAAGTTACATTTGTCATACGATAAAATCGCTAATACATAAATGTCGTATACATAAAGAAATAGAGCGTCGGTGGCTCAGGAGCCAAAACACTTGACTTGCAATCTCCAGGTCCTGCGTTCGAATCCCGCCATGGACCAATGTGTTTCATTTCCGATTTACATATGTACATTTACCCGACGTTCTTACGTTGAAGGAAAACATCGTGATTCAACCTGCACATTTCTGAGAAGAAATCCAAAGATATGTGTGAAGTCAACCAACCCGCACTTGGCCAGCGTGGTTGACTATGGCCTAATCACTTTGGGTAGGCTCCGAGCCCCTCGGTGGGGACATATAGTGAGCTGATGATGATGAATAAAGAAATAATTTAAACATTTTTAATTTCATTAATTCTTTTATATTTATTTATATAATTACAAAACAATGTAGGGTTATTGACCTTAGGTGGTAGAATCCCGTGCAGTGGCATTTTACGTGAATGCCATAATCATGTCAAAGTGTTGTACAGTCAGCGTCATACGCGGTGTTGCGCTTTAAAAGCGACAATCGGTTAAACGTCCGATAAAACGATAAATGTCGGTAAATTTGTATGAGAAAATAATCAAGATTATAGGACATGTTTTACAATATTTCTAATCGTTTTAAAATATCAATAGCACTTAGGTATTGATATTATTATTATTATGTATATTATTAACTGAAATGGTTTTTTTTTATACTATAAGGAAACAAAACAAGGAGCAAGCGCCCACCTGAATTTACCGAAATGGCGAAGCGATCGCTGCGACTACGTTAACTTTTTCTTAAGTTGAACAACTCGAACGAGGCAACTATATTTACCAGTTCATTGTAACCGTTAATTTTAAACTAAACGTGAAATGTTTCGTTCATTTTAAAATAGGTGCGTCAATATCAAATATCAATTGCTATGAGATTTAAATGTCTATAAGGTGCGGAGGATTAAGTGAACTATGTAACCTTTTATTTCATAACCTTTCTTGATGCTTCATCTAATATCTTCCATTCCTAATATCTTGTTTTATAGATAAAATCTCATACGAATCTTGATATACCTAGGAAAATTTTAAGGTCAAGTTTGACATCGAAAGAATCGTTCACGAAGTGACGACTTATATGTAGATGTTTTATACGAAACTGACCAGTAATTTCATAGTTGTTATAGTACGAGTGATCAATAGACTATCCATCGATCAGTGGTTCTGAATAGCTTCTTTCATTATTTATTTAAGTGGTCTGTCCTTCACTCATTTCAGACTATTTTCATCGCAAATCAATAACTACATGAGAACAACGTTGATATTATTTCTTTTGAAGTGGAAAATATTTCTTTAAAATATTCTTATTTTGATGTTAAAACTCTTTTTAAAACAAATAAATAGATTTACACTAAAATACAAACAATAAACCACAATCCTGTCATGAGTATGGAATGTGATTTGACTATTTGCTTCCCATTTAAATTATGCAATATTTGACGGTGCGTACTCAGTGAATATCTATTCAGTGTTCCCTAGATTCATCCACATTGAAATTTGAAGGGGCAGCGTAGCGTCAGCAAATTATTCCAGTCTCCCGCAGAACGCGTAATGAAAGACTGAGCTCCGTCAGAATTAGTGGGACGTCCACAACAAAAGGACCAAATCCCGGCGTCCACCTTGTTCTCTTATGTAATGTACAACGTACCTTGTACATAAGTTATACATAACTCTGACGTATTGATGTTGCGTGCAAACGGAAGTGGAGAACTAATTAATTACGTGAGTACACGATCTTCATACCTGTCTAGATTGGTTCTCGAATTTGACGGTTTTTTTTTTGGATTTGACACATTGCGAAATTGTAGAATAGCTTGTGTTCTACTTCTATGGTTTTATTATCATTTAAATGTAATATTTAGTTCCATTATACCATGTTTTACTAAGTCAAGTCTAATTTAGTTGCACGTAAACTAATATAAAACGCTATTAAATATGATAAAAGCGAGCAGCACCGTTTAATGAGTACGATATATCATTGTTATTGGACAGTCCGGTGCTAAACTGCGTTACGGTATTTTGTAACATGGCGACATTGTCGCCGACTGTACTCGTTAGAAGCCGTGACCAGATGTGCCCTATTTACGACATGTTTCGTGCCAGATACAAAAGTATTTGTTATTGTGAACACGATATTGTAAAAGAGTAAAATTCTTTAGTAAATTCTTTTTTTACATTAAGTTTTGCATAAAAAATGAATTCCAAAATATTTTATTATTAAAAACAAATAATTAAAATACAAAATTAATTAGACTCGCTAACAATGGCGACCCACAACGCTGTATACGTCGCGTCGGAAATTTGCGCCTCGCGCTATATAGAAATCAGTCATGTGGTTGAACTTTGCATTTGAATACAAATTGCAACTGTTGAAGGTTTACTCTTCGATATTATGAGCACAAAAACATTCAGCGTAAATAGAAAAATGCCTTCTGTTTATTTAATACGTCTCATGTCCAAAAACATGTTTTCGTAAAGCTATTGATTTTTATAATAACAAGCCTTGAACTCAACGAAATGACAAATAAATAATGAATCACGTACACTGAAATAATTTAATTTATATTAACGTTATGAAGTTAAATTATATTCGTGAAAACTTCGAACATTTATAACGTTGATTTATAGTATTTATAAATATAATTATTATTTGTAAAGGTACGATTACACTACGACATAAATGTCCGACACATCTGTACGGATTTTTACGCAGCGGCTGATGTACTCTAATTATTGTATCGCTTTGAGTTTGACACCTTCATTATAGTATAATAATCTTACTTCATGATGCTCTAGAAATAAGATTTTCTACATAAATTTAAGCCGACGAAAAGGAGAATTTTTTGACACTGACTTAATTATACTCCCTTCGTCAGGACACCATTAAATTATAGTTGATAAATGTAAAAACTCAAAAGATTTGATTCTAATTCATACAATTTCTTGTCGCTTATAGACCGTTGTTTCGGAATTTCTGCCTGAGTAGAGTAAGTGTTCTGTCCACACGGAGACATTTCTTGTCCGCTTTCAATTGTCATCACTTTAAGCGGCTCGCCTTTTTATGTGGCGACAGTGTTAGCGTTAATTTGTTTATATTTTAATTAATGTTCTATTACCGATACCCAAAATTAACAATCTTTATTTAAATATGTAAATTAGCCTTATTAATATGAAGAAAACTAAAGGATAAAAACTTGTAATATTACTATAGTCAATTGTAATAAATTAGACCGACAAAACAAAGCTGACCTTAAAACAAGCATATTGAAGCTACGCCACGCTTCCTTTGTGATACAATGATAAGTAATTGATGGCAACATTTAAAATTCAAATCGAATGTGAACAATCGTTAAGAACACCGCTTTCATCTTCCTTTACATAGGGTTGCCGTATTAATGCGCGCAAACGTAATTTATATCCATCAGGATATACATTTTAAATTATATTTATGTTACAAATGGCTATTTACCGTTACAAAGTGAACATAATCATTATTTATGAGTCGAGAAAGCTTTTTATAACGTTAAATTATAAATGAAATTGTAACAACTTTTGATCTGTGTTATTTAATAATGTATCGCTACTCGCTGCACGCGTGAAGTGGGGCCCCACCCTTTCGATAATTACTGTATTTTAAGAAAGTTTGCAGAACATTGCGTGCGCTTGAAATGCGTCGAGTAAATAATTCATAACTTCCAAGTAGGTCAAGTTCGCGTGTGTCGGCTGGTCGGTGCTCGCATCCGTAGACTTGTATACAATACGATGCAACGCTGAAAAACCGGTCAAACTTGACACTGGCCGTATGGCTGATGCATTACACCACCGCGCCGCGCCGCACAACGAATGTGGGAAACTACTTGATTGATTCACTCTGGACCTTTTCAACGCCGATTATTTCAAAAGAACGAAACAACTTAATAAGGCTATGGCCATATTTGGATAAAATATAGTGGTTCCAAAACTCGTATCAGCAATACAATCATGTATCAAATATGTGCTTTTTAAGTGGAAATATACTAAATACCTATCCTTGTACGATCACGTGATGTTGATGTTGTACAGGCCATAATCTTCCTCGCTGGCTAGATTTTTTCGTATACTAGGGTAGAGACTACAGGCATGGACCACCTCATTGTCCTTGCGAAAAGTAATCGGCTACTGATTGATAAAATTGATATGTTTGTAACATTATGATTTTCTTTATTTCCAGCCAAAAAAGCTGCTACAGCCCTTGGAATTGGACGTCGGTGACGGCGACAGGCGACTGACCGCGGGCGCCGCGCGGGCCCGCGCCCGCGCGCCCGCCTTGAGCGGCGGTGAGCCGCGCAAGCGGGGGGCTGCGGGGCTGCGGGGCGCCCGCGGGGAGCTGCACCACACACTACGCTTCAATAACAACTGTCACTTCGCCCAAATTTCAAGCAAAGGAACAGTTATGGACCCGTTAAATCTATGTTTTAAGTTAGTCTTTACGTTTATCATTTTAATTTATTTCTTGTGTTAAGTGCCGGAATCCTTTGTTGTCGTCACTGGCCATTACTGATTTACTTTTAATTATGTTTGTTGTATTAAAATTTATATTTTGTATTTTCAATTGTTAAAAAAACACAGAATATTTTTGTACCTCGAAGCAAAGTGTTGAACGAAATTTTCCGTCCGATGTCGTTAGCTCCTCGCGTCTCCTGCGGCCCCCCGCGCGCTCCCCTTTGCCCCCACACTCCACACTCTGCCGGTCACCTGTTAACTTATCTGTACAAAGCATTATTCCGATTAGCTTGTTGTCTTTTATTATTAATCTAGCCTTAAATGTTTTTCTAAAATGTTAAATTAATTCTGTTGAGCTATAAGTCTGTGCTAAATTATGAATTTATTAATTTTCCATAAAGTAGTAGAATAATTTAGAACCTTCAGAGAACTGTGATAAACTCTGGAGCATTAAAGCGAGTAAATAAATGTAGCGGAAAGCTATCGCGCATTAGCACTATTTCTTCGACCCAAGAATATCTTGTTTCCGAGCCATTGGAACTACCGATTTAGATAATAGCTTTGTATCTACAATTAAAGAAGATATTTCTTCATCACAGATTAAGTCTGTTAAGTCCCACTTTTTGGATCATTTTCTTTGCATCGACCATCCATTCATAGTCGACAAATTTTTTTTATGATTAAATTTATTTTTTCTAATTATATATAACTTTCGTCTAATATTTTTTTATGATTAAATTTATTTTTCATTGTAAATTGCTATAATTGTACATTTCCGCGATTATTATAAATGTTGCCAGTTTAATATCTTTATTGTGTTGTACAGATAAGTTCACACCGTTCATGCTGAACCACTGGAACGGAATTGTTTATCCTTAAAAAATACATTAATAGAGCGTCTGTTGTCTAGGTTATAATCGGTACGGCAAAGCAACAGAAACGCAAGTTGAGTACGCGTTTACCTCCCCTATACGAACAAAATGAAAACTATTTTTGATTACATAAATTTCCAATTTATTTTCAAGTTCATTTGTGATTTCCCATGAATAGTTAATGCAATTTTCTACTCAAAGAGATATCTATGGTTTGACAGTTTAGAGAATGACATTTTGTTTTTGTTTTTTTTTTTTTAAACCGCCGCTAATGTTTACAGATATTAGTTTTGTATATTCGTTGAAATTTTAAATTATATTTCCCACTAAATATGTGCAATTTGTTAAGATATTTTTTTTATTTGTATGTTTTCTCTAAAATAATATTAAATTAAATTAATTACAATAACCTCAATATTTGTCAAAACTTTTTGCTTATGAATGTCAGTGAGAGATCTATTTTTTATCTGTTTCTTTTGTCTACTGTTTTATTAGTGCTTTTGTTTTGGTATGTTGACTCAGTTAACTAATTACATTTACGTTTTATTTTTATTATCATTGTTAACTCATAAATAGATACGATTTATTTTTTCATAGATTATATTCTTATAAATCTTTAAGTTTTCTTTGTAATTATAATGCATGTGATGAAGAGGTTATGTGGAATCCAACTCTAATAATAAACAATTGATCTTTTAAGGTTGTACTAGCAATAGGTATCTCTTTAGGGCAGGAGATGAGGCCGAGGTTATGTATTTTACGTACCTGCCAAAGCTAGATAAGTACATAAAGTATTTCTGTGTATAAAATACTTTCAAAGAAATGCTCTCTTGTTTGGTACAATTTCAATAGTACCGTTTAAGTGTGGACATTAATACCATATCTCTAAATAATAAGACGGTGCAAAATGGATTACAGTGGCGGACAAAGTGCACAGAGAGTTTAATTATAATTTAGTTGTGATACAAGTGCGCGGAGGCGTTCTCATTGTTGCAAACAAGTGCAATCCTGTTGGACTGTAAATGTATATCGTAGTTAGGCAAGTTAAGATGTACGGTGCATTTAATTTATCTATGGGTGTGACCAGGTTGACTTTGAAATTAATTGTTTATGAAAGATTTGAGGTTATGTTACGTTGGAATGTCATCTTTCTTTGTTTTTATTATTTTGGCAAAGATATCTTTTGCAGGTATTAAGAATATTTATCGACTTTTATATTTATAAATTACAAAATCAACCTGAGTCCAGTGCTCATTATAATAAAGACAGTTACAAGTTGATATCTTCTGATGAGAACTCATAGTATGTCGTGTTTAGTCGTACATCATACTGGTCCAGTGAGTCGTGACATTTTACAAATTTACAAAGCAGTTAAATTGCCATCGAATATTCAATATTTATTTATTTAACGTCCGACTAATGTTTGAGTCGTGAGTTCTCGTACCGAAGAGTCGGCAAAAGTGACAGCAATCGGGCTAAAATGAGAGTAGGACGGAGTTTATGGTTCCTTTGAACTAAAAGCCACGGCCACATTGAAGGAATTAAAATTTTAAATATTATACTATTTATTACTTGTCGTGATAAGTGTAATCCTATGAATATATTTCTATTAAACTTTTTATGATTATAATAAATTTAAAATGGTAAATATTCCTCTCTCAATTTAGCCATTTTGTATCTGTGTTAGCGTCGTATTTAAATTATATGATTCATATAAAAATAATTCCTTTGACATTTCTCTAATATTCCGTTTATTTAGGATAGCTTAAATAAAACAATTAGTCTTTGTAGATATCAAGTTACAAGGTTTTCTAAAATCGTTAATGACTAAGTGACTTCAATAAAAAAAATAGTCAATGTTTGGGCTCGCCGAAGTTTGCCTTAAAATATTATATTAAAAATAACATCTAATTTTTCACTTTAACTGTATTAATAACATCAAGAGCATATTATTAAAATAAAAACAACGAATATCAACGTAAGTTAACGTTTTGAAAATTTATCGTATCCTTTAACTATGTAATAAAATATATCGAATGCAGAAACGTGGAGTTATGTCATAAAATGTGTATTGCGAACGACACAAATAATTCCGCGACTTTATGTTCCTGCCAGAAACTTTATCGATCAATACTGAACGAACAGTACCAATGACATGGCGGCCATCTTTTAACCTATAAGAGAAATGTCATATCTCATAATTCTGTCCTTTTCATATAACAAGATTTTATTCAACTTTTTGTAGGTTAGAAACATTTATTTCGTATACGAATTAAACCAATATTTTAAATGTAATAAAAACTGTTGTAATTTTATAATCTGTAAGAAATGTCAATGGAATTCTGATAGCGAATCGATGTAATAAAAAAACATTTTAAAGTAAAGTATTTATTTCGTTATTATTTAAGTTTTGGATGATTTTAATTGTTCTCGTTGCTTTACTTGGGAATCTTTATCGATATTTAGACGTAGTAAGTACAATGCAGTACGTAACGGGGATCGAATACAATTTAGTACACGTTTGCCGATATTGATTTCTAATCGGCTTAGGCTACTTTTCTAGTGTACAGTTCCATTTTTTCTATTCCGTATGTTCGTGTCTTTCCCCGACGTGTAATGTTGTTGGTTATTGCGATTTGTGAGTACTCACTATTCCAAAAGTTTCCTGATGTAATTTATTAACTTGATAAATGAAATGACGCTTCTAAAGTGTACTACATATGTAAATATAGGACGAACTAATACCTATTATAATAGTGAATGTTGTAATTTGTATATAAGTAACGAAAATTAAATTTTAAATACATAGATAATATTGTGCGTATTCATTTATTTCACTCTTAATAATTGAATAATTATAATGTTTTATATTATAAAGGGGCAAACGAGCTAGCGACTACGTGAACTCACCGAAACGGCAAAGCGACCCGCAATTGCGGAAAGACAGGAACGGATAGAGCGATAGTTATCCGGATGACAAATGAGTTGCTTGCTTTTATATTCGACGGAGGAAGGGACACACGGAAAATATTTCCCCTTCCCATGCGTCACCTCCGTCAAATTCCCATCCTTTCCTTATAAGGTGGGAACGGAAAGGAGACTAAAATTATGCCTCCTACACCAACTCAGGTGTTACGATAAAGAACCTGTCTGGAATAGTAAGTAAGTGGAGGCATGGAATAGGTTTTCAAATAAAAAAAATAGATATAATTCAATCGATTTTTAATAAATAGTACCGATTGTAAAACGTATGTATAACGTCTGCATACAATTTTCATTTTTTAAAACCAATTTTCAAATACTGACAATCAAAAATGTACCCTAATTCAATACTAAAACGATACAAATTGCATTGGAATCTTAATAATTAATTTCGTCACGTTTATAATACAAACAACCTCACTCACAACTAATAGGAAACGGGATTAGGAATCCAAAATTGATTTAAACAAATTTCACATTTAATGCTTGGCGTTATGGACTGAAATTAGTTAGCAAAAAAAACCTTTAAAGTTTTCAAAAATAAATAATATTCAATTTTGATACATTGCCATTCGAAACAAAAATCCGGTTCGAAGGACCAAACAATTTTAAATGCAAAATATATAATTATATAAAGTCTATTTAGAGATCAATAATTTAAAAGTAATTCTACATAATGTTCGTACAAAAATAAATTGTTACAGCATATATTATAAATAAGAACATAATTTGCACCTAATCTGAGATTTAAACCACAAAAGGGAAATACCAAAACAATGTTAGCTCCATAAATAAACATACGAATAAGGGCACCAAACAATTCTCACCACTTCAGGCAATTTACATTAATCGTATGTGTAGCATTCGTTGTTATATTTGGCTCATTCGTTCGTACCGACACGTGCTACCGGTCCAAAGGTCCAATCAACTGACGCCACCTCTCTCCGGCACGTACTTATGACGCGTACGCTCGAGACAAACAACACTACGTTTATGCATACACTATGTATTCCTGCCAATTTAACAATTGCATACCACAAGTAATTAATCAAATATAACATAAATAATCAGATAGTTTTAATATACATAAGAGAAATAATTTCAAAGATAAATTCATCATCATCAGCTACTATACGTCACCGAGGGGCACGGAGCCTACCCTAAGTTTGGGGTGACTAGGCCATAATCAACCACGCTGGCCAAGTGCGGGTTGACTTCACACATATCTTTGAATTACTTCTCAGATATGTGCTTAAGCATAACGATGTTTTACTTCACCGTAACAACATAGGATAAATGTACATATGTAAATCAGAAAGGAAAAAACACAGTACATGGCGGGATTCGAACCCAGGACCTGCAGATTGCAAGTCAAGTGCTTGACCACTGAGCCACCGACGCTCTATAAGATAAATTGATTATTGACTATATATGTACACACAACACAAAGTCAAAAACAATACACATTCGATTATAAATGCTAACAGTCTAAGTATACAATAGGAAGAACATGGAGGCTTTTCAGGACGTGTTTGGGGCATCGGTATAGTGTGTTACATCATAATAAATAAACTTAAATTAATAAAATTTAAACTAATACATCCTAAATAGGATTAAGTTTTTAAGGACGCAATTACAAATTATTTTCTCTAGCGTTCTAGAACATTCTTTTATTTGGTTCAAATTCTTTGCGTCGTTACATTGAAATATAAATTAACTTTGAAGTTTGTCGTGGAAAGTTGTTAGAATGACATTTGCTACTATTGTAATACTAATACGATTTCCGTCTTAAAATATAAAATGTTAAATTATTGTCTATGATAAATATTTTTATAACACAGAGCTAAATAACAAATTTAATTTAATACAAATAATTTCATCTAGCCTTCTTTCTTTTCAAGTGTCTATTATAAAAATCAAATTTCGTAAAGACAATTTTATGACAGACTATCAGTTCCCTTGCGGCTCTATTTGTATAAAACTCCATTAATTATTACAAAAAACAGTTCTTTTTAATAATTTCCATATTTAAATTTACAAATGACAACGATGTCTTTCGCCATTGGCTGAAAATTACCGTTACCATGGCAACCGGCCATATTTGATGCTATTGGCATTATTGTCTCTTTCTCGCATAACAATTTTTTTTAATTTACTCACCTCCTAAGTTTAATAGCGTGAAAATATATAATTTAAAATGTGTCGTAAATACAGATATTTTATTTTAGAAAGAATTATACATATATATTCCATGATTTCTACGATTAGATTAATTCAATGTAAATCCAAACAACTTTCCATTAAAATTGACATAACCTCAAACATATTAAAACCCGACTTAAATTATCACTAAAATGCTATAAATGAAAATAACATTTGATATACATTTCATTACCTATATATAAGTAATAATTCACATAAGCCTTATTTGAACCCTACATATAGATAAATTCCTTCAATACTGCTAAAGTAAATATATCACAATATTTTAATTATTTATGTAGATCGGTTACTCTAAAGGTTCATTTACACGAAATCCGGAATCGTACGAACTCGGCAGTTGCGTCAGAGCGAGACAAACGTATGTGTAATACGTTAGAGCGAGATATAAGTATGAGAAATACATATGTCTGTCTCGCTCTGACCTATAAATGTATGAGATATATATACGTTTGTCTCGCTCTGACGCGACTGCCGAGTTCGTACGATTCCGGATTTTATCTAAACGAATCTTAATGTAAATTTCTAAAGGCCATTCATTGATTACGTAAGGTTTTCGAGATCGAGGCGTTGAAGTCTTAGTGTTGGTGTAAAATAAAAACAAAATTGGTGAAAAATACATAATTTTTAAATAATCTTATTCTGACTATTTCTAAAAAACGTGATAGAATCTTTCGTAAGAATTACAGGGTTTGAGAATTCCATACATACGGGAAAAAAACCCCCAAAATCTTCTTAAAACATTTCTTAAAAAATTGCCCCGAGTGTTGCATCGTGTCATTATGTGACACTTACCAATATGTTATATGTTTAAGGGTCCAAAAAGGCTTTTAATTATATAAAATTCACTATAGTAATGTTCGAACTTGCCGCGCCTTGTCGCTGACAAGGTGAAATGAATCTAATTGTTTTGTAAATAAGAACTAAATCTGTCCGCAACATTGCAGCGCGGCGGTAAGGCGAAGTCAAACGTGTGGACGCGTTTACTTTGTGATGATTCCTGAAAAAAAAAGTTAAAAAATTATTAAAGTTACCATAATCGCCAACTTTTATTATAATGTTGGAATGCCAACAACAAAAAAGATAATAAAAATGGCCAAGGAGCGGGTTTTTAGTGTAAAAAGCCCACAAAACCTTGTTCCCCTCAGGAGCCTGGGTATCTTTTTTGCCATTACCTCCCTTCCCATACAAAAATAAGGTGTAGAGGGGTCATTGCGTCGTTCAAGGTAACTTTGTATACCTGTGTAATATCTCTCTCTTTACTTATCAATTAGAGAGAGACGCAGCACTTCATCGAGCGCGCGCTCCTCGTCCTGCCGCCGGCGGTCCAGCTCGGCGTGCTCGCGCGCTGACAGCTCCAGCGCCGCGCGCAGCTCCGCCTCCGCCTCCCCCTCCGCGCCCTCCTCCACCTCCACCTCCAGCGCCGCCGCCATCATCGCGTCCGCCTCCGCGCGCTCCTCCGGTGTCAGCAGCGACAGGGACGCCTCTATCGCTCTACCCAAATACATACCATAAACAACTCTATTCTAGCTAAACTACTATACAAATAGCGCGTTTCCAACAAATATATAGTCAAACAAGAATATCTGAACCGGTGAGAGGCGCTGCTAGCACAGTTGGCAGACCAAAGTCTCTGCACAAGATATATCGTCATCCTTGTCTTTTATCTTTGACAAAACAGAGACAAATATATGTTTAAAACGTGAATTTTGGACTCTGAAACCCACTGTAAGACAGAAAATGATATGACAGCTACATTTAAATGTCACAAGAGGATCTTGTGACATTTGACGTTGACTGGGGGGCGCTAGTGAGCTGTTATAACTTAGTTTGACGTATACCCGGATCAGATATACTTGTCGGTTGTATATGACACATTTGTTTACAAAAGCATATATGTCGTATGTGACATAAACACGATTTAATTCCGTCAAGCGTATGCAACTTATCTAGACCAAAGAGTTGTTTATTTTAGCTTAAAAATTGTTACTTGTAGCCAATTAAGAGCTTGGGAATATTAACTTATCATACAAAGAACAAACTACTTATTTAGTATTTAGCCTAGTGATTTAGTAATATAGCCATATTGTCAAAAGTATAGTTAATATATTATTATAGTGAATAACTCAGTAGAAAGTTACAAAAAGCAAATGAATATTTTCGTAAAATATAACTAGAAACCATGATAATAGCAAATAACACAATTATTTAGTATAAATAGCCAAGCATTATCAAAAAGACAACTAAAATCGCCATCTCCTGCAAAATAATAAAAATATTTATGATGAGATATTTACGCAAAATAACGCTTTCTAATATTGTTACCGGCTGACAAAATTAAACAGAACGAAAAAGTAAATAAAAAAATATCCAATTATCTGAAAGTAATATGCAATAAAGTTTTACTTTTATCCTATTTAAAAGATAAGATACCTTTGCAGTTGTCTCTCCTCAGCAGCGAGGAGTGCGCGGGGCGGCGCGGGGGAGGAGGGGCGCGCACCTCGCAGCGCCTCCCACACATCCACCTACATACATACATACTCATACATACATTTCTATCGAGGACATGGAAATACACACATTTTGAATACTTTGATGTATTTATTTAGAATTTCATATTATAATTTTCTACAAGTTTAGCGGAATTAAACAAACAGATAAAATGCTTTATAAAATAACCAGATATCGTGCGCGACACCGTCCGCGCGTACTTTAAATAAGCTTAATAAGTAGCCTATGTGTTCTTCCAGACTATGTTCTACATCTCAGCCAAATTTCAGCGAGATTCATACTGCCGGTCCGGAGTTACCTTCAAACATCCATCCAGCCAAACTTTCCTATTTATAATATTAGTAAGAAGTAAGATATCAAGAAAATAATAGCATAATGTTTTTTACAAACATTAAAATTTAAGACAGATAGAAAACTTTGTCATCTACAGGTGACAAACTAATAACTGACCTGATCATCATGTGTGCCAGCTTCCATGAGACTTTGCTGTATCGCATATTGGAGCAGACCTTCATCATCGTCAGTGCCGCTGGACATCCTGTCATCAGACACCGCCGCGTCCCTGTACCCGCGCCCTATCTCAAAGCATGCGTCGTCCACTATACACGACAATCTCTCCCCTTCCTGTATACATTCTATGTTCGGTACAGGGGACTCTGTCGCGAAAATATTGCCGAATGTTATCCGTGTATTCACCACATGGAAAAGTGGGATCTCTGAAAAAATAAAACTGTGGCACTTCAAAGGTTAAGGTGTATAGTAGCGCGAAGTTTAACACATTCAATGCTGATTTTATTCGAAGTTGAAAGTAATCGTAGCATAGAATGTGTTAAGTTACCGTATGAAAGCTTCAATGTAACCTAACTTTATTAGGCAAATATAAGCGCGCCTCACTATATTATGCGAGACGGTAATTTTATATATTTTATAGTAAAAATTGAGGGTATTTGAAAAAAGTAAGGGAGAAATGTCAGTCATCAAATGTCAAACAAAATAAGCCATACAGCTGAGCTACGAGTCAGTTCACTGATCTGCTTCACATGAGACATGATTTATTTTTTTTCTTTCTCTTAGTTACCGTCTCGCACCCTTAGTATTTTAAGCTGTCAGTACAAAACCTCGATCTAGTATTAGCTGTCATAAAAAAGACATGCCATTTGGCAAATAGTGCACACGCCTAAATAAACTGGCATAACATTTCCGTATTTCTGTAGTTTTGCTGCATATAACCTAACAGGCGCCTAATATACGTGAGAAATGTGTCGAAAAATTGTAATTAAAGAAGTTTTTATTGCTTTTCTGTGTACTAATAAGCGAGTGATGTGTTTGCGGTTGCGGGTGACTATAAATGTATTTTACCTTCCACAGAGCGTACAACTGGAACGGATATATAATATGAATGAAGTGTGAAAAGGACAACAAATATCTATAATTTTGAGACGCGCTTATTGTTTTTAATATTAAATTTTTCAATAAGTATACTAATAAATAATTAATTCAAATTTAAAGTACGGTTTGATATCAAATACGCTGGAAAAGAATTGAATTTCTTTCACACTTTTACACCAAACCTCTCAGAATCTCGCGGAATTAAAAAAACTTAATAAGTATTCCACGTTCTTCCCGATTATATTCTACAATAAGGCAACATTTCAACGAGATCTATATAACCAAGAGCGTCGGTGGCTCAGGGGTCAAGCACTTGACTTGCAATCTGCAGGTCCTTGATTCGAATCACGCCAAGTACCAGTGTGCTTTTCGATTAACATATGTACATTTTTCCTATGTTCTTACGGTGAAGGAAAACATCGTGATCCAACCTGCACATATCTGAGAAGAAATCCAAAGATGATCCAAGTGAAGTCAACCCGCACTTGGCCAGCGTGGTTGACTATGGCCTAATCACCTCAACTTTAGTTATTCTCCGAGCCCCTCGGTGGGGACTTATAGTGAGCTGATGATGATGAATATACAACCATTCTGCAGATACCTTCTAACAAACATCCATCCATCCATAACAGTAAGAATCGTAACACAAATGAGAGTTTACCACGTTCAGTCGTTAACTGGATACTTAAGGTACCCTTAGTGATAATTAAATGACTAATTGTGGTAGTTATTGTTATAATTTGTAGCAACTTACCTATTTTAACAGGGAATCCGGCCGGCAATTGCATTTGTATAAAATCTTTTAGTTTGGCGAAATGCGGAGATGATATCGCCGTCATGAGATCAAGGATCGGCATTATTTGTTCTTGTAACTGAAAAATTATAATAAAACTATCATTATTTAACCTTTAAAGTATTCTACAAGACAATTAAATTCTTCTGGATTTAGAATTAAACTTAGGTTCAAATAACTTAACCTGGAGGTTAGACTGGACTGTATATCAAAGTTTATCCATAAACAAGAGTCGAAATATAAGTTCAAATAATATAAATTTCCACCAACCCGTTTGCATACGAGTGGTTTCTTTAATAAACTTAATAATCTACCAGATTTTATTTACACTTAAAACAAACATTTTTATAACCTATAACAAACTAGAAGATTATTAAATTAAAAAAAAAAAACGATTTTTTCCACACACCAAAAAAATAAAAAAATTCTAGCAAAAAAAATTGCTCAGTAAAATAAAATTTTCAAACAAAACAAACCCATTAGAGAAGAGAATTAGTGATTACATGTCTTACTTCAAGTGGGTAGTCCTCACAGAGCCAAAGCGTCGCCTTGAACTTCTGCACCTTAGTGGTCATCTCCTTTGGCCGGCCGATGTCTCTCTCCAGCGGCACATCACTGAAGTACTCACTCCATGTCACCGGCTTATCTTCTGATGATCTACTCGTGTGAGGCTCCTCTTCTACCTCCTCCTGAAAAGGTGTATGTAAATCAGCTCTAAAAGGCTCAAAAGTCTACGTGACTTGAACTGTTGAGCTGCTCAACAACTAAATTAGTAACTCACGGCTCACCGTTATGGTTATGTGAGTCGATGAGCCGCGACCTGCCTACTAACTCACAGTTCATAGCTCGGCGCAAATCATAAATCTAGGTAGATATATTGAGGTGAGCTGCGAGTCAGTTCACTGATCTGCTTCACATGAGAAACGTGATCTGCAGATCATCAATTATAGTTGAGTAAGTCATGACTATACATTACACATAAAACAATCCCAAATTTGAAATTGTTTTGCTCAACAGGTTACTAGATGGCGCTGTACGAATAGAAAGTATTCCTGTATCACGGTAACGTTGGTATACCTGTTCTGGTGTGAGGAGTGGCGAGGCCCCCTCTCTGTCAGCGAGCGCGAGCAGGCCAGCGAGGGGTGCGCGGGGGGTGGCGCGGGCACGTTCTCCGCGCGGCACGTGCTCGCTGCGTGTCTTCGACACCAGCTCCACATTGTTCGCGCTGAACACTTTGCACTCGTAACCATTCACCGTCTCCGTCTTGTCCTGTCTCCAACCCCAGATGCCGCTTTTGTTCCTGTAATAGTTATTTTGAAATGACCATTAACTCTTATAACTGGTCATGGGTAACTCAGCTAAAATTCATTCATATGTTGTATGAAGCAGATCAGTTCACCGGCTCCTAGCTCAGTTCAATATGTACTTGCATAGAGTTTGTTTCGTATTTCGAGCTCTGAGGTTTTAGGCACCATGCAGTTGGGATGAGCCGTGAGTTACCAATTTAGTTGTTGAGCTCAACCATTCAAGAAAAGTGATTCGAACTTTTGAATCGGTTCAGAAGTGATTTACACATGTCTATCTATGGCATGTGCGTGTGTTTGCTTGCTTGTCTTGTGTGTAAACAGGTGTTGTGTACCTCTCGAAGCTGATCTTGTCAGTGTCGAGGTAGTTGAGCGCGAGTGGTGCGGCGAGGCGCTGCAGCAGGGCGCGGCGCGGCGGCGCGTGGTGCGCGGCCGGCTCGCGCGCGTCCAGCTGCTCGCACCACGACGTGCCCAAAGTGTGGTCTAACTCAACCAGGCTCGCACAATTACCTACACACAAAAACATGAACATACTAACACATTTTTCCCCGTATTTCTTGACTAGCTGTCCTTCGCGACATCGTCCGAGGGCAGATAAAAAAAACTTAATTAGTAGCCTATATGGTCTTCTAAACTATGTTCTATATTTATACCAAATATTAGCTAGACCCATGGTATCCCCAGCCTTTCTGGGGATACCTTCAAACATCCATCCATCCATACATCTAAACATTCGCATTTATAATATTAGTGAGAAGTAAGATATTAATAAGTTAATTCCATAGTTTCTGTCAATATACGTACCCTGTCCTCGGAATATATAAGACCGCTCTCCGCGCTGCCAGTTGGTGTCATCGAAGCCAGCAAGTGTGGTGTCGACGCGCACGTTGCCACCGCGCTTGTACACTTTGTACGTGTCGAAGGGACAGTAGCGGGACACTAGAGGCACTGCAAACAACGTAATAATATACCAAGCTTCATATAATGACAAACAAAACTAGAGAAATGCGATTTTACTACTGTAGGGGGAGAGGCATCTATAAGTAATCTGAAAGGTAACAATGTCGTTAGAATCAGTTCTAACAATTTCATGTGTTCTAGATGCTAAAAATGTAATTTATTCGTAGTACTTTTGCATGTAATATATCAACGTACCCCAGCTGGTGAATTCCCATTTCATCTCAACATAGAAGTCAGGCGCGAGACTGAGCCGGCGTAGCAGGTCGGGCACGCCGGCCGCACGCGCCGCCTGCCTCTGACGGTCACGACGCGATAGCACCAAAGATAGCAGAGCGGCATCACCTCGCGCTGTTGCCTCCTGTACCGCTACAAGACACATACGACCGCGTCAATCTTTACTTTTTTTAATAAAACTTAATTTTAAAACAAAATAAACATCACTCTTTTGTGTCGTGTCGCACACAAACACTTGTATTCCTAAATATATATAGAAATCAGATAAAACAGTAGCTTTCCGATGAATGGTAGTAAAGATAACGCTGAGATTTTAGTTTTTTTATTAATTTAAGAGATATCAGAATTACGTATTGAATATTGAAATTCATTGGACGTTATTTTAAGTATACAAACATCACATCGCGATAAACTAACCGTGAAAGATAATTTTATCGATCGATCGTTAACACAAAGCGTTCTATAAAACAATGTCAGACTGAGAGATAAAAAATAAATATTCAATATAATATTAAACTGAGACATTTAGTGAAAAAATCTAGATAAAACAAACTATTGAGCATAGATTTAAGCTATAAATGTACTATGTGATAATGAATAAAAGGCAGAGCAGTTTCCATTCCTGCACCCTAGGCGAGATTTTTGCGACATCCCCTTCTTTTAGTCGGGGGAATCTTCTAAAGATAGGGTATCATAGGGGGCATCGCAGCCACCCGGTTATATCCAATTATGGCATCTGCGGCGCCCCTTTATACCCGGCGCCCTGGGCGGTCGCCCCACTTCTCCCTATCCTAACGCCGCTACTGATACACTCCGATCATTCTTTCTTACCAGTCCAGCCGTCTTTCTCGCAGTTGACGTCAGCGCCGGCGTTGATTAGCGCCTCCACAGCCTCAATGTGTCCGAGTGTTACCGCCAACAATAATGGTGTGCGTCCGCGCGGGTCCCGCAACTCAATGTCTTCTTTTGTGAACTGCAGTTAAATACAAATAGGAATACAAATTTAATATATGTCTTTCTCAAGAAAAAAAAGAGATGCAGGACCATCAGTCTTAAACAAAGGCACAAAGATATATCCTTTCTGGTACTGTTGTCTCTGTTTTTTCGAAGAGAATGAGAGGGACCAGAATATTTTTGTGTACAAGCGATTGCGACAAAATCCGTACGCATTGAAACTAATTTAAGAAACCTAAAAAATTATAAGAGAATTTTAAATCTAATATTGCATGTTTTTTGGTACAAAATTCGCTTGCTTTTACATATTTTCGTGAATGTATCACATATCAAGGTCACGTCAATTTGTACGGCTTTAATACGATTATGAGTATGTCATAAAAACATAGCTACATGTTTGTTAGGCTTCAAAGCCGTATACAAAAAGTTTACTTCCGCGGCAGACGGACTCCCACGCGACACGAGTTTGCGATTAACATAATAAATAACAGACATTGTTTACACACGACCTACATTTGTATCACATGGTTAGGCAAGGATTTATGTGCACACAATTTTTGTTGTGTAAATTTTTTTTATATCATAAGGTAGCAAACAAGCGAACAGTCACCTGAAATCGCTGAAATACCTAAGCGACCATTGCCCATAGACATACGCAATTGCATATGCATTGCCTACCTTTAATCGATGGAGGAGAGGATGCACAAAAAGAAAATATTTTCCCTTCCCATACATCCTCTCATCCAGAAAGTCCACTTCCACTTCCCATCTTTACCTTATAAGAAAAAGGGTGGGAAGGGAAAGATAAGGTAATGGATACTGTAGTGTATGCATAAACATAGTGTTGTTTATCTCGAGTTTACATGCCATAAGAACATGCCGGAGAGAGGGCACATCAGTCGATGTCAGACCTTTGGGCCAGCAACACGTGTCAGTATGTGAACGTGCCAAATATAACTCAACAAATGCATTAAAATTTCCCTGTAATCATTCATATCATTGTCATATAAGACTAGTTACCTAGTGGTAACAGGTCTATTTCAGTCTACCACTAGGTAATAAGTTGTGTCACAGCCAGCCTTCTATGTAAGATATATGTGGAAGAAGAGACAGCAGCAGAACATTATACAATAGTGTCTGACAGTATCAACTACATGGTTAGGTATTTTGGCTCTCAGACATTGTTCCCATAATTCACCAATAACATAAAGAACTAAGCTGAGTTATAAAATATCCACTAGACATGGAATTGCACATACAATTTACTAGATACTGAGTTGTCTATACATTAGATTGAACAAAGCACTATTGATAGATTAATTGCTTACTTTTATTACTAAAATATTTCAAATAGAAATATACAACTGTGTCCAATGTATCATATGTATAATAATGGTGCCTGTCATGAGATTCATTTTAATTAAAAAGTCTAGATTATTATTCAAACTTTCGTGAGACATTATACTAAACACACAATGAGTGAGCGACAGGCCGCATCTGCAAAATAATACCAGTACCACTCATCTTGATGAAGGGCACCCGATGGGCTTGAAACTAGTCTGTGCCGCCACTGGACGAATATACATGAGTATTTAGCCATGTTTATATATCAGTTAAGTCTAGAGAAACGTTATCATTCAATCTCAATGTATAGCTGGTACATAACTTTCAACATCTTATATATAAAACTCTCATGTCATTCACTTTCATTACCATTTTCTTCCAAAACAGCTTGACCAATTTTAATGAAATTTTATTTGAATCAGTAGGTTTGGACAGTCACTGGCAACAGCTAGTAATAAAATAAATACCATATTACTAAACAGTTTCATATTGCGTTTATGTAACATTGTTAGCCATGTATGTGTTAATTATATTCAATGGCAAGTTGTTATCAGTGGTCAGCATTAAAGGTGCTCTCTGAGTCATATCATGTGATGTCATTTTGTAACTACTTTTGTGTTGAAAGCTTTATCTATTATTCGGTATTTAACTTTTCTTAAAATCAGAGTATGTAAATATTTATATGGTAACATTTAATCTTTCTGCAGTCTCAAATTTTTTATCGTAATTTATTATAAATAGTATGTATGAGGTAAGATATTAAAAAAAGGCAATAATATTTAAATTGCATTTAGCAATTTTAAATTTAATTCAGTAACAAAATCGCCACAGTATTACCAATAAATAAGTATGTTTATTTTGCCCACCCAAATCATGTTTCGGCATCAGAATGCTCTATAGATATTATTCATAGTAAATAAAAAATTTAATTAACAGCTAACTTGACCATAGTAAAATTAGGAAATTACGAGTTTATGAGTGTACCTTATTAGCTTCCAAGGAGCTTTTCAGTTCTTCATGCTCGTTATTCCAAACCAGCCAATGAATTGGAAACCGTTTAGCGACGTCTTGCACATTTAACGGCATTGTTTTAGAACATTTAATACATACACAGGGACAATAATGATTTCACTTAATTCGTTCCTTATTCAAAAGATAATTTACAAATATTTTACAATAGAATAACAACGAGTCACATTTATTTCACTTCACTTAACGTCAAAAATCTGTCGCAGACTGCTGCCACAGAAATGTCACATCAGGATCAAAGAGTAATAAGTTTTATTGTCAGAAATAAGTTTTATTTTTCCAAGTGTGAGAAGCGGCAGAGCGAGGGAGTAGGAGCCCGTGCCGATACAGCAATAAGAAAATTTAATTTAATGAAATTTTCATTTAAAAAACGCACTGATTATACGCTTGCATCTCTATAACGTAATTTCACCGCTTGTTCTGTTACAAAACATAATTGTTCACAGAAAATAACTCACAAAGCGTTAAGAAATAATCTTTGTTAAATGTTAATTTTGCTTGCTACCAGGTCATAAAATTAAAAAAAAATCGTTTGTCTTCGGATAGGTTGTCATTTGTAACTGACAGCCTGTTAATCATAATATGTCAATTGTCAAATTAAAATCAAAATTCAAATGTATTATCAAATAGTACGTATAATTATTGATATTGACAATTAAACGAAGATAGTACATTGAGTTGTACAGTGACATGGTTATTTTAGCAATCTGAGACGCAGTGTAACAATGAATAAAACGTTGTTTTACAGCTGCGGCCTAAAAAAAACTTCACTTTATTACTGTCCTCGACGAAGAATTGAAACCATTTCTAGACAAAGTATTGAAGTAAGCCATTCATTGTGTTTAAACGAATTTGAAATGCACAATAGACATTGAAAGTATAAACTTTCTCCTGGGCCTAATTTTAGTCCTCTTCCTAGAAAATGAGATTCACGATAGGAAGGTGGATTTTGCGGAGGGCTTATAGGAAATGGTAATATTCTCTTTTTGTGCCTTCTCTGTTCATGGGCTGCGTTCATTTAACTATTTTGGGGAACAGGCTGCTGGCTCTTTTGCCACCATTTACTATGAAAAAACTAAAGTTGCTGTACTCCCTTCCTAATATAGGAGTAAAGGTAGCCATTCTAATTGGTGTAATTGTTGTTTGACATTTGAAAATAATTATTAAAAACTTTGCTTTTAGGAGAGTTATAAAGTACTCAACTTACCTGTTAATTCAAAACAAGAGGATGTTCGTGATGCTTTTCTCGAGTTAGCTAAGAAGTATCATCCAGACTCAGGATCTCCAGATGCAAATATTGAGAAGTTTGTTGCTATAGAGAATGCTTTCAGACTGCTGTCAAAACATAACACTGGTGTCAGCAATAGCAAGGAAGTGGAGAAGATTGTGCATGATGTCAAAGTATGTCATTTTTATTTACACATAGTTCTTCTTCTTCTTCTTCTTCTTTTAGTTGCTAGTGGACCCCATCGTTTAATTTCGATGATTTCGCCAACGTCAAGGTTGAAGGTAATTGAAAACGAAAAAAGGAAGATTAAAAGGTTAAAAGATTAAGTAGCAAAGAACAGAGAGATAGACGGAGTATAGATCTATTTGACAAATGACCGGTTGATGGTGACGGTTGCGACTCTGAAAAAGGACAACACAGTTGTTAGTAATCTAAATACATAGTAGTAATAATATTAAGGGCACGGGAAATTAAAGTTTAATATTGTTAGTAGATAAAAACTTAAAAAGGACCTTTACCAAGGGAGTGTGAACCATAGTTAGTAAGAATGGAATATTAATGGGTCTAGGAATGTTGGTAGGGAGCAGGTCGTATAAATGAACCTTGAGTTTCGGGCAATTGAAAAATATGTGTTCTAAAGAGCCCTCTTCCAAGCCGCATTCACACAGGGAATGATTACGAATGCGGATTTTGGCAAGAAAAACAGGGGTAGCAATGAAGCCCAGTCGTAGGCGACATATTACAGATGTTGTAGATTTACTAATTTGTCCATGTTTTAAATACCAAGGTTTAGAGGGAAGGGAAGGTTGAATCGATCCATAGTACTTACCCTTAGATTGGTTAGATCTTTGCCAAGTGTTATTCCAATTCATTAACATAGATGATTTAGCGAAGATGCGTAAATCACGAGGGAGGCTAAATTTATAAGTGTCGCAACCAGAATGGGCGGCGACCTTTGCACATGAGTCCACTGTTTCATTACCACTGATACCCGTATGGCTAGGAATCCACGCTAAGATAACTTCAATGTCAGAGCAGTGGCATTTGTATAGAAGTTGTTTGATTTTAAGAGTGACGCTAGAATTATCGCGGGCTCGGAAAGGCGTTTTTAGAATATCTGTTAGACAACTTAAGGAGTCGGAAAATATTAGAGTTTGGTTTAGTTTGTGTGATTCAACAAAAGAGATAGCTTCCAATAGCGCAATCGCTTCTCCTGTAAAAATAGAGGTCGAAGGTGGGCATTTAAAGCTTAAAATAATTTTAAATTTGGGAATCCATACAGCTGACCCTACAGTACTATCGGGAGAGGATTTTGAAGCGTCAGTATAAATTGTATTCCATTGTGGCCAGTCAGATTCCAGAATACTATTGAATTTTAGGTTTGCCCCAGGGCTATCTTTGTCAACTCCAAAATTTAGAATAATCCTAGGGTAGAAAATAAGAGCATCAAACTGGGTCTCATAAATGGGGAAGAGAACACTCTGTTCTATTGGGGTAGAGTGAGATGTATATTTGTTAAAAGAATTAATGAGTAAGGGAGGGTCTTTGTGGGACCAATAGTTAGCTGTTGGAATAGTTTGAGAGAGAGTCTTTAATAAGCGAAGGAGGGGGTGGGATTTAATTTGGACTACACCGCAAAAAAATCTATCAGATAGGAATTGTCTACGAAGATATAAGGGGGGATCTAGACATTCCACTTGGAGAGCATTAACTGGAGAACATCTCATAGCACCAGTTATTAGTCTGAGACATCTAGATTGAATCTTATCTAATTTGGATAAAGCGATTTTATTACAGGGATCAAGAAGGAAACCACCGTAATCAAAGTGACTACGAATAATCGCATCATAGAGAAGTTTCAGAGTGGCAGGATGAGAGCCCCAACGAACCCCGGTAAGTGCTCTTAAAATGTTTACGCCCTTTTCGCATTTTTTAATTACATGTTCTAAATGCTGTCTTCCGGAAAGTTTGGAATCAAGAGTAACACCCAAGAATTTCACCGAATCATACCGATTAATAGGAGTATTATTTACACGAACTGCAACTGAAGGCACATTTCGTTTACGGGAAAACAACACTGCGCTGCATTTTGTAATGGAGAGGGAGAGATTGTGGGACAAAAGATATTCATTTAAATGATGTAAGGCAGTGTTTATACAAATATTAGCGACGTTTATAGATGAGGAGGTGGAGTACAAAGCAATATCGTCAGCATATTGTAAAATTTTGCAAAATTGATTTACGGAACAGTCTAAGTCAAAGGTGTAGATATTATATAGCAGGGGGCTCAGGACAGAACCCTGAGGAAGTCCTTTCCACACTGACCGGGAAGGGAGGAGAGTGTTGCAATGACGGACAGAAATTGATCGAGACATTAACAAGCTGCAGATAAAATTGATTAGCCTCTCGGGAATACTCAGCTGAAGCATTTTCTGCCTGAGTAAGGGAAGCGAAACACTATCATATGCAGATGAAATGTCTAAAAAGACACCTAATACATTTTCATTTTTTGTAAAAGCTATGCGAATTTCGGAGGTAAGAATGCTTAAGCTGTCCAAGCAACCTTTACCTCTTCTGAATCCAAATTGGGTATTAGACAGTATATTGCGGTTTTCAAGAAGCCACTCCAACCTGTTTTTGACTAATAGTTCCATAATCTTGGCAAGGACATTAGAGAGGGCTATGGGTCTGTAGGAGGAATAGTCCTGGGGATCTTTACCAGGTTTTAAAATAGGTATTATAATTTGAATTAACCAAGAGTCGGGAACAGTGCCAGTTATGAAAATGGTATTAATGATTTTAAGTAATAGGGACTTGGATAAGCCGGGAGATTTACACACAAAAGAATAAGGAATGCCATCGATACCTGGAGAGGAATCCCGTAGGTGATCTAGAGCACACGATAGCTCCGTTAAAGAGAATGGATCGTTCAATCTGTCAGAAGAAGGGGAAAGAAGGGGGGGGAAGTTACCGAATTCAGGGACAAAGGGGGGGGCTAAATTATTAAAGAAGTTTTCTAACCAAGGTCTTGAATCATTAGAGGATATGTTTGAATCTCTAAGAGACATGCGGTAAGCCCTGATCTTTTTCCATATAAGAGCAGGAGGGGAACGTGGGGAGAGAGATTCACAGAATCTCTGCCACCCTAACCGTTTTTTTTTAAACAGAAGTCTGCGGGTGCGGGCTGTAATTCTCCTTAGAGACAGAAAGTTCTCCATCGTAAAATTGGATTCATATTTTTTCTCAGCTTCATTACGTAATCGGATACTTTCTGAACATTCAGAGTCCCACCATGGGGGTGAACCAATTATCTTTCGGGCTGAGTTTTTCATAGGAATGCTATTGTCAGCTGCCTTTAAAAGAATAGACACGTAGTCATTATACAATGCTAGAAAGTTATAAGGAGTAACCTCTGGAAGAGAGGTAATTTCTTTATTAATAATGTCGGAATACATGTTCCAATTTGCTTTAGATGTCCGATATTTTTGAAGGGGATTAAAAGGTATGCTTGGGATAGAAGCTTGAAGAATAGAGACCAAAATGGGGAAATGGTCACTTCCATATGTATGATGAAGAACAGACCAGTCCAAGTTGGGTGCCAGTGAGGGGGATGCTAAAGAAAGATCAGGTACGCTAATATTCTGCAGTGGGGATACTCTGCGTGTAGGTGTACCATCATTCAAGATACAGAGGCCAACATCATCCATCAGATCTATCAGAAATGATGAATAAGGATCATTGTAGTGGGACCCCCACATAGTATGATGGCAATTGAAGTCGCCTAACATGATTAAGGGGCTTGGGATTGACGATAGAATGGACTGAAGTTCAGAAATAAGGTTTGGATTAGGGTGTGGGATATAAATGGAAACGATGGACAAATTTAACAATTTGGCAGCTACTATATTTAAACCAGAATTATGAGGAGGGATGTTAATCTGAGAAAAAGTTATAGATCTGTGTATCAGGAGGGCACTACCTGCCCTACCATCATTTCTGTCGTCCCGAAGACAGGAGAAGCCTGGGACCCTGAAGTGGGAACCTGGACTAAGCCACGTCTCCGAGACTGCAAAAACAATAGGTTGATACTGATCTATGAGTTGACTAATTTCAAATTTTTTGAGGCGGATACTTCTACAGTTCCATTGGAGAATTTGGGGGTTGAATTTGCTGAGGGTTTTTAGCGAGGAGAGCAATAAGTTGTTCAGCTAGAACAGAGACATTGGACGGTAAAGGAGAATCTGATAATTTTGAAAACATGTTAATTAAAGAGCAGAGGAGTAAT